GCTAGTAGGTGGAAAATAGGGTCAATTGTGGTTATGTTGATCCATCTGCTTCGGGTGCTTTTGCTAATGAATCTTTTCCTTCTTCGTTCTGATACGACCCATGCCATGATATGATGAATGTAAAGATTGGATTTTCTAGTTGTATATCACATCATTAGATGAACGATATGAGGCAGTTGCCAATTGCACTCTTGTTACTTATAAAAGTGAATTCAAATCGAGACACGATTGGGACATAGCCGAGATACGCTAAGGTTGAGGCAAGCTTCTCTTTCTATTCTATAAAAAAGGCTCCAATATGCAGCCTCACAAGGAGTCCATCCAGCTTAGTCGTGCACTTTACCTAAACCAACGTAACACATCTTTTTATACCTTTCCCCTATTCCTTGTATACCTATTTCGCATGCCACTTTCCCTTGCCTATTATGTATTTCTTATTAGAGTCATCTTCCATTCATTTCAATTTTGGTCTTTCTGATGTGATCCTGTGTCAAAGTAGAGCAGTAGTGATAGTGAATTACTATTCTCATTAACAATAGGGCCTTTCTTCCGATCTTATCCAATTCGTTACATTTTCTGATTGCACTACTTCCTTCTAATCCAACAATTTGATAACCTACCGAGTCCTAAAAGAATCCTTTCCTCCTGCACTATTCGACATCCGCTAACTGGATATTTACACCCAGAGGGTGTTCGCAATAGTTGACCGACTATAAGCTTCCTCCGCGGGGAGGGCTCCTTCTTTTTGCAACTAAAACCTATCCGCTTCCTTGAGAAATTCAATAGTTGACCTACTTTGGTACTTATTAATGCACACAGATAAATCCGTAAGCACACGGATACCGCTATAGCTTTCACCTAGAAGGATTCCAAGTATCGTATCCACAGGGAAACGTGTGAGATTAACTACATCTAACTTAACCCGGAGTAGCAACAAGACTTAATATAACAGGAGTATAGAGGAGATCACTAAGGTCTTCTAGTTCTAACTTTAGTAAGCTATGTCTTCTATTGTTCAATTCTAGGGATATTACAAAGGGAAACACAGGCAGAGTATGTTTCCTATAGTAAGTAAATCCTGCTCGACCTACAAACAGGAGGTGGACTATAGAGGATTCAACGAGGCTATAAAAGTCACCCTCGCGAGCTACAACCGATCCAGAATGTAGGGTATATCTAAGAGTACCCGAGTCTAAGCACCACGCTTATACTACGAATACTACTTTAACTCAGGAATGACAAGGATTAAAGTACTCAAAAAGAGTCGCAAACCTGAAGAACAATATAAACACGTTACTTACTTGAATTAAAAGTTGATTACTAGAGAAATCTCAGAAGCAAGTTGATGAAGACCTTGATTCCGTCGGGGTACAAGCCGTAGAGAGAGCACCGATAGGCCGGTACTTCCTCCAAACTCTTCCCTCATACTATCTCTCTATTTCTAATACATGACTAGATCCTATGGATGACTAATCTTCTCTTGATAGCTGGCTCTGATCCTAATGAGGAGGATATGAATTAGGGTTTCAGGATGGCTCTCCTAGAGGGGGTATATGGCTATATATAGGGGGTAGCGTCAATTCTGGACCCTCGGATCAAACCGAGTTAAAAGGACGGCGTGAATGCAATCTAGGAGGCGGTGGAGAACCGACATTCGAAGAGGAGGCTGACCAGGGGGGGGCCACAGGCCGGCTAGCCTAGTGGTGGGGCCGGCCGGCCCCACATGTCATCCCCTCGAGCTCTGCTTTGGTGGATTGCCTTCTGGAGTATTCTAGAGTCTTCCCAAGTCAGTACCATCGTGGATAAATGTGATTTGATTTGACGAATAGGTCCTCCTTGTTGGTTTTCTGGATAAACCCTGCTGAAAACACAGATTCACCAAAACTCGTGGAATTTATTAGTTGAAACCCCTAGACCTATGTTTGATGATGGATTTAAGTATATATGCAAGTTATATTGACTGTTTATAATTGATGTTAATGACCGTCAACATCCACTCAGCTTTTCTTTACTGACCGCTTTCGTAAGGAAAGAAGACAATAGGAAAACTAAGTGAGAAGTTTTAGAGCAACCGATGCTTACTGTCCGACGATATCCCTAGGTGGAGCTGGCTTACCACATTCCGATGACTCAGAATCTTCCCTTTGTCAATTTTGAATAATGAAAGTATCAACCGCTTACTGGCATGCCAAAACACTTATTATGTTTATGTGAAGTGGATTCATCGAAAGAGAGAGGTAAAGCATTTGAATTCTTCGCTTTTGAGCAGTAAGTATTTCGCAAGGCGGCCCAGGGGGTCTTCTTTGTTTAAGGGGCAGTTGAGCAACCATTCATACTACGTAGTGCGGGAATTGTAGTTCACAAGTGAAGCCTCCCATGAGTGATTAGTTGGGTGCAGTGTTCGTCTAAACGGCCGATTAAACGGCCATTAAATGGTAAATGGTGGTAATCTATTTTGTTTAGGGGGTAAACGGAAATTAAACTATTGACCGTTTAAATGGTCAAAAAAATAGGAAAAACGGTCTAAACGGAACGGAGATACACAGTATTAAACGGGCTAAACAGCTTATTTAAACGGCTGTTTAGGTGAACACGATGTAAATCTAGTTCAGTTTTGTATGGATAAATTTGAATACTTAAGTTTATTATATTTATAAATATGTACAGTTGATATGTTACATGCATAAATATCTATATTTGGTTCTTTTCACATGCATAAATATATATACATACCAAAATAATTGATTTTTACTCGGATAAATATGTATAAATGCTAGAATACTTGATTTTTTACATGCACATATATAATTATATGTATTTTTTTTAAAGTACAAAACTGTTTAGACCGTTTAACTTCGTTTAAACACCGTGTAAACAGCCCAAACACTAAACGAAGGGCGACCGTGTAAAGATTGTTTACCGTTTAGGAAAACATTGGTTGGGTGGTATATTAAAAATGGGTCAGTTATAAACAAATCCGTCTTTTACGGCCGATTGAGACTGTCTTCCCTAGAAATAGAATGCTCTTTGACGAGAAAGCCGTCTAGCACCTGTAGCTGGCTTGCTTCACGTCCCGCTGTTTGCTTACGAGTTTGGTAGCGAGCTGAGGGTTTGTAGATCTTGCCTCGAAGCCTCCTTTCTCGGGACCTACCCTCATCATTCTTTAAGAATCATAAGGACCCATTCCGGTAGTGCGAAAATTTGCTGCACTGTCTTCGCTGCCAAGCTCAAGTAATAGAAAAGAAAATCAACTATCTAATCGAGCATCAATCCTAGGAATTTTCTCCTCACGAAGAGAGATCAGAAAGCTTGGCAACGGATTCCGAAGTACCAGTACCGAAGAAAGCAAAAGCTTTCGAGCGAGCAACGACTCCAATGTTTGGTAAAGGGAATGACCCTGGATACTCAGTGGCTAGAAATATATAATATGTTATCATTTTATCTCAATATTTTATAATCTTATATTATATATTTTAGTTACTAAATGAACTTAAATAAAAAAACTTTTAACTACAAAGTTTTAAATTTTGTCAAGTACTATAATTTTGGTATAGGATATATCTCCATCTGAGATAGTTTGAAAAATTCAAAAAATTGAGTCTCAAAACATGTGGATTTTAAAGACATATTTGAGACTCTAGATGACTTTAAATGAAACACTTATCAATATCAAACATGTAGATTGGGTCGGCCACTAGAACTTGGTATTAACTATGTGAACATTTGAGATCGTATAGGACTTCTAAATTTTAAATTTCAAAATCTATAAATTTTGAACACATAATTGAGACTCTAAACATCTTCAAATTAAAAACTTTTCAACTACAAAGTTGTAGATTTTATTGAGAACTATAACTTTTGTATAGACTAGGTCAACATCCGAGATAGTTTGATAATTTTAAATTTTAAATTTTAAAATCTTTGCACTTACAACAATATTTTGGGACTCTAAACAGTTTCAGTTCAAAAACTTTTGAACTATAAAGTTATAGATCTCGTCGAGAGCTATAATTTTGATATAAAATTTATCTTCACCCAAATTCATATAAAAAAGTTATGAATTTTTTTTGCCATCATTAATTGAGGCGGACATGTTAAGATGCCTGTCTCCGAAAATGAATTTACGGAGGCAGACGCTTAAAACAACCATCTCCGAAAATAATCAATTAATAACGGAGGCGGACGTTTTAAGTTGCCCGCCTCGATTAATGGATTAACTGAGACGGTCGTCATATACCACTGATTAACGGAGGCGGCCGCCTAGCCCGTCCGCCTCACATAATAAAATGGCATCACCTCCCCTTGGCGGTCAAGGCAATAGCAAATTGATCTGCTTCCTTGGGGTTTGGTTGTGGGGTGAGGGCCTTGGGGACACCTTGGACGGACAGGCGGACAGCTGGACAAGCGCAAGTTCTACCCACATAGTATCAATGGCCCCCTTTGATTTCTCCCTGGCGTTCTGTGGGCCGGGCCATCTCGGGCCTCTGTTAGCAAGGGAACTTTGGGCCAGACTACATGTGTAACCGTCGGCCTGCGGTTCCGTCCTCAGTCAGGAGCCGCCATCACAGTGTAGTGAGCCTGCGGGCTCCTCCGGGCCGGCCGGTGATAACTTGTTAAACTTAAAATTAGCAACATGCATGGATAAGAGCATTGTCGATGGATAAACTGCATCTAATAAACAAAATTAATTTGTCGATTGACTAATGTCGATCCACCATTTTCAGAAACACAAGAGGAGCCCTCAATAGAGAGTTCTTAGATGCATGGGTGCTGCCTAAGTGCCTAGCTCTAGCTGTGCAACTGAAACAAGACATCATAACCATAGGTGGCCACGGATCCACGTTGCACGCAACTCAATCATACCTTGTCATGGATGGCACGGCTCGGTCAGGCTTGAGCTCAACGAAACAGGGCCTTCCATTCCATGCATCTAATTATTAGTAACTCGAACTAGAAGAAGGCACCGCACAGCTGGGGGTCCTCGCAGTCGCACGGGATAGTCAGCCTCGGGCACCGGCACCACGGTGGCGGCATCGTCGCCGGCGGCGTACAAGCCTGTGTCTGCAGCGTCGACCAGCAGCACTGTTCGTCCTCGTCTGCTTCGTCGTCCTTTTTCTTCTCTTTGCCGCCCTCCTCGTCCTTCTTAACTTGGTCCTGACCTTTCTTCTCTTTAATTTCTCCTTTGTGTCCTCCTTCGTCTTCACTTCTTCTGTCTTCTTCTCCGGCACGATCAATTCAACAACCTTAGGTTTCTCTTCTGCTTCCTTCTTCCCCCTTCTGCCCTGGTGTCTATGCTCGACGTTGACATTCACGTCAGTCGCCGCCGGCGCCAGCATGGCTTCCACGGGGACGTGCCTGGTGTACACGGACACGGTCGCGGCGATGGAGAACGCGGACGACACGCGGACCCGGCCGCAGAACGCGCCGACCTGGCCGCAGAGGCCGCTCTGGCGCTGACGACCACGACCCCCGGCGCGTGGCGGCATGCCGCAGGAGGTGATGTCGTCGACGGCGAGCAGCAGCGCCGCCGACGTGGACGTGAGCGCCTGCACCAGCTTGTCGATCAGCTCCACGGCGCTGCAGGCTGCCCTGTCCTTCCTCGTCGCCTCCAGGTAGATCGCCACGCCCTGGAGCACCGCTGACAGCAGGTCCGTGACCGCCGAGTACCTGCAACGTATACACGTTCGTTCGCCGCCGGCCGACGATATGATTCAATGGTGTGCAGTTCCCCTCAACGACCGGAGATGGTTAATGGAGATGCAGCAGCAGCAGCAGCAGCTTACGCATGCTTACTTGAAGGACGCGTAGTCGGCGGAGGAGACGGTGGCGGAGCGTTGTCCCGGTACACGTACGCACTGCGTCGAGGCGTACGTCATGATGGCCGACGCCAGCGACAGCCCCACCGTGGCAATGCGGAACACGAGGCTGGCTGCCCATGATGGAGAATTGGAGATGGATCATGAATGGGCGTGCACCAGCTTGCTGGTCAAACACTTAAACCTCACGTTTGACCAAATTTCTCACATTTACGGCTCCAAATTAATTATTATAAAAATACATTTCTTAATTAATCTAATGATATTTATTTAAAATCATAAATATTGATATTTTTTTAATCTATAATTGATCAAATTTAAGATATTGAACCATAGGCCTGTGCTAAAATTATATTCTTTCCTAGACGGAGAGAGGACTACCATACCATACCATGATCGTCCAACCTCTCCATCCACTGTTTCCACAATCATAGGCATGCAAAAATTTACAACTGGCATTCATTATGTCAACAGGAAACATGAAAGTACATACCAATGGCTAAATTCTTTGCTAATGTCTATCATCTGTATGGTGGTTAGGCTATATTATGGAGAATATGGTAGTTGGATTGTACTTTCCTGACAAAGAAAGACATGGGATGTCATCAGTCAGAACTCAGAAACCCATTTGTTAAACAAGCTTAAACTGATAGTTAATTGAATCAAGGATTGTTTGTTTTTTTGAGCAGTCAGGTCTCCTCAGATCATATTACACCACTTGCAAAAATGGAAGCACACGGTACCAACAGCAGAGAACTCCGGAGTGAGATTATCAAATCCAAAAGATATATATACAATGATGAAGCCAGAAAAGTCGGTTACAACAAACAAAATATTGCACGGAACTACAAAATTTGCTAGCACACTTTGGCCTCACAAGGCGATGGTGGTATCATGTTATTTGCTTAGTGCAGTCTCCAAGAGATGCTCGATACGGTATCGCATCACAGGTTGGCCAGATCTTGTCTTCTTGAACATCTTCTCCCTCAGTTCTTTCCGCTTTGCCTCAGACTTCTCCCGATGTTCCCTCTTCGCCTGAATTACTGCATCCTGCTCCTTCTTAGCCTTCTCATCCTCTGCGCGTTTTTTCTCATACTCTTCCTTCAAACTATGCGCAGTGCGCTTCTTGCCTTTATGAGGTGGCTTTGGCACATCTTGGGCAGCGTCACCACCATCCTGCATAGAATCATATAAAAATGAGTTGTTACAGACTTGTCCCTGAAGATACAGAACAGTTGTGCTGTTTCGATAGTCAAAAAACAGATGAATTTGAAACGCTCAAACACATTGACTTCCGCCCGAAAATGTGACATTAACTCCTATCACTGTAAGCAGAATTACCTCATGGATTGGAATTTCAGGATGGTTGTTTGACTGACTTTGTAGCTTCTTTGTCTTTTTGTACTTGCTAATTAATTTAGCATTCTTGTAGAATTCCCTTTGCTTCTCTGCAAATTAGAGCAGTGTTTTCATGAATATATTTGGAAACAAATTAAAATAGTACTGGCAGGAACTCAAAATAATTTGACAGAGAACTTTTGAAAACACGTATATTAGTGTGTATTTAACACCTCCAAGTATCGACTATTGAGGTTCGTCTAATATAACCTTAAAACACCATGACTGCTCTGCCTATCCTTTAAGCAAATGTGCATGTGCGATGCAACTGGGAAAATATAATTACACAGCTCTAACACAATAAGCCTCAATTTATATATCTGTATGTAAAATACAGTATAGACATGGTCACAGGAGATACAGAACTGCACCTTTCAAATATGTTGTACATTGCAATTATACATCTGGTAATAATTGGATATCTGATATTAAAAGATAAGTCTGTGGTAACTCTCAAACAAGTTAGAGATGAGTAGGACCCGCAAACAGGTTTTAAGATAATTCTGCATTGGTCCAACTGATTCCCCCGATGATGAGAGAAGGCAAGAATATCCAAAAAGGCATTTTGCCACTACTACAAACTCTGAGAATCCTTCTTTGCAAATGAAACAATGAGACAATTATGAATACCCACTAACTCACACCACATCCTGTATATCTGACACTTAAGTGGTTGCCTTCTCCACATCCCTCCACTGCTCCTTGGAATAAAAAATTCAGATGCTCTCAATCCTTATCTCTTCTCGTGTCAGCACGCTTGCTGTGGACTTGGCCGAGCATTCAACTGTCTCTCTCTCTCTTTCATCTTCACCCGCAGTGGAGTGGCAGATGCGCCGTAGAGGGGATGACACAGTCTGTGAGCTCCAACGTGCAGTGACTCTCCAGTGCAGAGGTGTTCCACTGTGCCGTGGCAGCGACCAGAGGTCCCAGCGATGGTGCAGCTGCCATCACCCCCACGCCCACTGCTGGACTCCAGAGGAACTCTGGCCACATCTCCCTTCCAAGACACTCTACTTCTAGTTCTAGGCCTCTACACGGGGTCGAAGACCCTGGCGAACCTCTTCCTGGAACTTCATGATGGCGACTGCGCATTCCACACCCCCGCTGACTTTGACCTGCCGGCACCACAGGTCGTTTGCACCGTTGGCGTCTGCAACCGCCAGTTCGCCACGGCACATGCCTTATGGAGGCAACGGTTGCTGCGAGCAGATTGCCAAATATGTCCTGGACTTACAGTATGTGCGATTCGAGTGAGTGGTAGTTGGGCCAATGAATGGTTGGGCTGACGGATGAAATTTCTGGGGAGAGAAATTTTCTCGTTTTAATATTTGGTACAGATACAAGTAATAATGGACATAAGTTTTTGCAATTCTCCCGAGCAAAATTGGAATGCATTTCTTCTTTCACAAGATAAGGTAATGAGATCCAAGTATGGATTCGGATTCAATTGGAACCATTGTACATGAAACTAGATCCCATACAATGAGATTTCGATGAGAACTTATTTCATCTATCTAACCTCTCATGCATCATTCAGTGGTCTAAATTATAACAAGAGAATTACATTAACAAAGGAAGAATGTGTGACCATGTGTACCACCATTCTGGAATTTATCTAAATCTCAGCATGATTGATACGATTTCAAGTAAATTCAGCCGAATGGCTCCCCAACAAGAGCAGATTAATTGTCAGCTACGAGCATATTATCATTACCAAATTCCTCTAAACCTCAGAATGGAATGGTACGATTTCAAGTAAATTCAACCGAATGCCTCACCGATACCAGCTGATTAATTGTCAGCTATGAGAATTACTCAGGAAGTTAATGCAATGATCCATGGTAGCAAGTTTACCGGGGGCAAAAAGCAGACCCAAGTGCAAAGCACACGGCAGCGGTTGCTACTTGCTAGCTAGTTAATCCACGCTCCAAACTGCACCCAGTAAGCTCGGGAAGGTGGTGGTACTCACTGATGAGGGCAGGGTTGTAGCCAGTGGTCCGGGACTTGGCGCTGGCGAAGGCGGCGAGGGAGAGCGCCCCGCCGCCGCCGACGCCCAGCCGCTGCTCGTTCCGCCTCCGACTCCCGCCGCCCCACCTCCCTTTCCCCTTCCCCTTCTTGAACCCTCCTCCGCTCCCGCTCTCGCCGGCCGGCGCGCCGTCGCCGCCGCCGCGAGTGAGTGGTGGCTGCCGCTTCATCTGCGCGTGCAAGAAACCCTAGAGGCGTTGGAGCTCTGGAGCCCAAGCTGGCTTCCATTTGTTTTCTTGACAGATCTTGGGCCCTTTGGGTCGAAAAGTGGGCTTTGGGCTATTTATTAGGCCAAATAATTGGGCCGTCCGCTCTATGGGTCCGCATGGGAGTCCGAGCACAGAGCTAGCCGCATCTGCTCTGCTCCGCGCCGGTGGGGGCAGAGGAGGGAGCCACGCTACTGCAGGCGCCGTGGTGGCGGCGCAGTTCGCGACGCGTCGCGTCGCGTCGGGGCGAGGTCAGCGCCGGAGCTCTGAACCCGGTCATGGTCACGTCCCCATTCGATGGAATGGGGTCGGACGGATATGTATGAGCCGACCTCCTCTTTTCCATTTTCCTTTCCCTCGCTATTTTCCCTTATCACTGTTCACTTCCGTTGCTTCTACTGTCTGCCCCCTAGAGGTTGTTGCTCCATGTGGATCAGTAAGTAGGTCTTGCGCAGTCATATGCAAAATCAACTGATCGGATGAATTCTGGTGGAGGGATTGAACAATACTGCTTTATGCTACTAGTAGCAAGTAGACCTTGTTATCGTTGCACCCCAGAGTTGTTGTCGCCTCTTAAGTGGAAATGCAATTCTGCTAGCAATTTGGTCATTTTTAAGTTGAATTTTGCAATGTATTGTTATTGATCACAATATCATGATCATATAAATGTAGATCAAAATATGAATCTAGTGCAACCACTTTTGTGTAACTAAGTCATCATATAGTTAACCTAATTATTGGAGAAAACATACAATGTCAGTATCTTCAAATATGTGTATCAAAACAGAAATACCCTTAAAACAGTAGGATGTCAATTAGATGATCTTTAGCACCTGGTATGGCCAACAATATGTTTAAACAAATTTCATGAAAGGATCAGTACAAATTTAAAGGTTTTACCCATCACAGATATTTGTTGGATAATACTGTATTATATTGTCAAAACATCCGTATTATGTTTATATGCTGAAACAAGGTTTCTGTTTCTTGATAATGATAATAATATAATATTGGAATTTGTGGAAGCCTTGATGATCGCTTGATTTCAGTCTAGCAATACTGGAAGGTAGAGGGTGAAATCGATTACGTGTTTATTATTATCCTGCCTTTTTTCTTTCTATATGTGGTATTCTAACATTATATATTTCTGTGATTCACGCTTCATCGGAAGGAATGATGTGAAATGTTTAATCATGTTTTTTATGCACCATTGTCAATAGAGGAGATACCAAATTAAACTTCTGGCTGCGCTGAGTTTGTTGTGTCTGCATAGCAAATTTTGGAGGAGAGGAAGTTGATCAAACATTACTAGCCAACCATACTAGCTTGAAATCCCACAATTGATGGACACGTATGCAACTTTTCTCTTACCATTTCCTTGCCTCTTTAGTTCATGTTTCAGTTGTTTGTTATTGCTATACTCATTTTCTTTTCAGTAATGCATAGTTTCAGCTGCTGTATTTTTTCTGAATTATGCATGTCAATCAGTAAGCTTATGCTTGTAGGCATATACGGAATGGTAACTATGATGAAGCACTTGATCAAGAAGCTTTTGTGAGCAAAATATCGAAGTTGCATCCTGAGTAAGTTGTGTAACATAATTGCTATCACAGATCTTGACATTTGCTGTTATATTAATCATTTACTTTTTCCAATTGAAGTTTATCTTTTATCCCAGGATTAGCTGCTGAAGTCAAGCAGTGCAATCATTAATTTCACAGCTTCTCCAGAAACTTCGATCAAATATTCAGGTGAAGATGCCAGTGTAATAAGGGTTATTTATGACCATTTTGAACTGTAGAGATTATGTTATGTGTGTATCTAAGTTCTTTATTATATCCAATACTCTTGTCTCACCCCCAAATGCTTGACTTATCCATCTTGAGCACAAATGTATCTAACATAGCAATTTCATTTTCTACAGTTACCTGAGTGCCTCCGGTATTGTAGCACATCTGTGTCGAATTGGAGTTGTCAGTAAGTCAGACTTGTGCTTACAGGTATTCTGATTTTTTCATGTAATTTTCTTTGTGTGAGTAGGCTTCAAGAGATATTTTGCTTTTCCTTTTGCTTTTTTTGGGTTCAATTTATAATGGTGTGGAGTTTCTGCTATGTCTGCAAGTATATTTGACTTGCAGTAGTGCTCATGTGTTCTCTGTAATAACAATGCAGAAATATTTGTAATGATATTTCTCATCTTACTTTCTTATACCGTGCAGTCAAATTTTCTGGACAATATGATTTGAGCATCTTCATCTTCTAACCCTGATATAATTTCTAGTTCCAGAGGTGCAGGGAAGCTTGGCTTTCTGGGATTCTCGAAGATCTCGACCAAAGGAATGTTTATGATTACCTCAAAGGCATGGGACTTGCCACAGGGTACATCTATTTGATGTTATTATTAATCAATATCAAGCAATATTCAACAATGATAAATCTGGAAATGATGAGAACTATGACGGTGGGATGCTTTTCAGCTGGGCAATGCAACAAGTTAGTAATCACCTCACCACTCTTAAGTTATGTTACCAAACATAACAGAAGGTGGGTCTTTGTCCAACGATCTTCCACAATGCATGGTAAGGAATGTCTTCTGATCCTTTGTCTATCTTGATTATGGTTTCATTCTTAAATTTGATGCACTCTCATGTTGCAGTATTGTGCAATGGGTCATGGATTAGTCAGATTGGATTTCCGTGGCCTCCTTCCACCAATCTTTGAAAAGTAATTGGTGTTTAAATTATAGAATTTAATAGTGACTCTAAAGGGGATATTATTGATGCTGTTATCTGCATTTTGCAGTGCAGATCTAAATTTATTCTCAAAGAATATGAATACTGTGGTTGAAAAGTTTCCGGTGATGCAATTTTCTGCAACCATTATGCATGTTGAAATACTGTTTAGGTCTAGATCAATTATAAACTGGATTCAGTTTACTGTGCTGTTTGAGCTTTTGAACCAACTTTCTAGTTCTTTGGACTCTGCGTCTTACAACATTATTAGTATAACATCTTACTGACACTGTAATACCTTCTACCATGCTAGGTCATTTTGGATTTACACCGTTGGGTTGTGATGCCATCTGTTGGCTTTGTAGCAACTAGCAAATGGAGTTGTGGATGAGACTTCTGATGATGCTCCACCTTCTGTTTTAATAGAGCATCAACCTCTTGCAGTGTTTGTTAATGGTAAGTTCTCATTCTTAGTATTTTGCTTGTCACTGTACTCGAACAAAACTTGTGGTTAACTGGTGTGTGTGCATGTTGACGCGTCATGTTTTGAAACTCTTGTCTGCAGGTATTTCAGCAGCAATGAATGAGCTAAGACCATTGAGCTTGAAACCCATCCTTGCCCAGGAGGTGTTCCTGGGACTACAAGCAATTCTCTGACTCCCTAGTTAGATACAACGCCATGCGGAGGATGCTTTGTGGGAATGAGTCCGCTCTTTTCCTTTCACTCTGCCAGGCATTTATCGAGGTTTGTTTAGTTTCTCCATGATAGATCAGTGGTTTTGAATCTGAAAATAGAACATAACTTGTTACAGTACGCATGAAACAAAACTGAATGGCTCAGAGTCTTACCATCAAGCCTAATTGTGTAAACAGTAAACATTCATTGTTTCGACGTAGGGAGAGTTCACATCTTAATCAAAGTTCAGCTAGGCGCTGGGCAGAATCTAGGCGCTGACCCTCAGCCTAGCGCCTAGGCGGGATTAATCGCGCCTAGGCGTTCCTAGGCGTTTTCCAATACATGCTTAAATTTATTAATACATACTTAAGTACTTAAAAGAAAAGAAAAAATAGAAGACCAATGGTCATGGAACAGGGAGAAAAGAGAAGAAAGGCCCATAAAAAACGGCCCAACCCACCTTATCCACCGTTAGGGATGAAAACGGATCGGATATCACTGATATTACATTTGTTTTCATATTTCTGTCCGGATTCGGATTCGGATTCGAATACGAATAGTGTCAACCATGCCGAATAGGATACGATTGGATATCGACATCATAAATATGCGATTTGAGTATTCGGATACGGATACGGTATCGGATGTTGAATATCCGGACTCGGATACGAACGGATTTAAACCCCTCTAAACGGATTCGGTCTCGAATACGGTCGAAAAATATCCGTACTATTTTCATCCCTATCCACCGTTAAAAACGGCCCAGCGCACCTTATCCACGTCTCCTCCCACACACCGCCCGCTTGCGCCTGCTCACTTGGCGCTTTGCCGCCGCAAGCCAAGCCAGCAGCCATCCGCCGCCGCTTCATGCTCCTCCTCCCCCACCGACGACCTCCGCCAGGCGCTCCTCCACCGCCACCGCCGACGAGCCGCCGCCGCCTAGGGGTCCACCTACCCCCATAGGCGAGGCGGACACCCTCCGACTAGTGCCTAGTCGCGCCTAGGCGAGCGCCTAGCGGAACTCTGATCTTAATTTTCCATATCAGGTTGCATATCCTTATCGTGTGGCATGTTTCGGCCGATGCTACCTGAATGAGGCAACATTGATCTCAGAGCCATAAAATATTTAGCTGCTCATTGTTATAGCCGATACCTATATGTTGTAGAGTGAGTGTGTCCAACCTGGATCATAATCAATAATATGATCGTACAAATAATGTTCACCGCATTGTTGACTACACACTTCCTAAAATCGAAGAGCTGATTTATTTATAAATTCATCCTTGGAGATATCATCGACAGAACTAACAATATTAATATTTTTCTCTATCTGGTTTCATCCAGTCTAATCTAGATTAATAGCCTGATCGGCTGCAGTCATTAGGCTGTAGCTGCTGCAGACATGAGACCAGACCACGTTTCCCTCGTGAGAACACAGTCATCAGGCAACAGCCAAAGGCAGTACTACCCTGCTGCAGCCATGCAGTGCTAAACAGTTTAGATTCAGCTGCAGCTGTACCACCATGAGTCCATGACTGCAGGCGATCAGGGCCTAAATTGAGTACGTAGAAAAGAGAGTGCAAGCAAAGTATCAAATGGAGTATTAAAAACAGCAGCTGGAGGAAGCCAAAAGATGTGGCGATGATGACTAGGCCGGTGGTTTGCGTGCGACCCATGCCGTTGTGCATCTCATCTCGGCCTTGTTTAGATTGAAAAAAATTTCAAACCGATGAATAGTAGCACTTTCGTCTTATTTGATAAATATTATTCAATTGTGGACCAACTAAGCTCAAAAGATTCATCTCGTGATTTCCAACTAAACTATGCAATTAGTTATTTTTTTTACCTACATTTAATGCTCCATACAAACGGCTAAAAATTGATGTGATGGAGAGAGAGTGAAAAAAACCTGGAATTTTGAGAGTATCTAAACAAGGCCCTCATCTCCCTTTATCTTATCTTCTTCCCCTTCGTTGTGACAGCACCAACGAATCAACAACAAACAGTATAGTACTATATACAATGGCAACACGAAGGATGAAAGGAAAATCACAAAGGTTGCAGGATTTACTAACATAACACTTTACAATGTTTTTTAATCCATTTTTCCATGTAAGAGCAACTCCGGTATGGCTCATACTTATCCTCCATAGCTAAATATGAGTATCCAGCCAAAAAAACGCAGCTCCAGTAGAGCCCCTACTACGGACCCCATATTTGGCTGAGCACCCAAATCCTCCCTCCAGACCCCATTCCGGTTGGCGCACCCCCTGGCCCCCCATCCGGCTGTTGCAGTCGTTTCCCACCCCGCGCCCGTACAGAACCACCGTGGATCCCGCTTTCCTTGCAATGGATCCCGCTGCCCCTCGCCTCTGCTCCGGCGAGCGCCTCCACCTCCACTCCACCGCGCAAGTGCTGCTGGAATAGAAGTAAAAAAATATGGCCCCAAAAAATGGGGGAGCACCCAAATTAAAAGGAGAGGCCTATTTTAGGGGCTGCTAGGTTGCTTTAGGCCCTATTTGGATCAGTTTCAGATTTTAAAAACTAGTTTTTGCTTTTAGTTTCTAAAATCTGGATTCTAAACAAAAACCGGTGGGAGTGTTTGGATCCCTAGTTTTTAAGGCCTATTTGGATCCTCCCCCTCTAAACTTTAGAGATAAAGCTCCAAACAGGTGATATAAAATTAGCTCTAAACTTTAGCCTACCTCATATTAGAGCTTTAGACATAAAAAATGAGCTAAAGTGCTCTAAAGTTTTTAGAGCTCTACAGCCTATTCGGGAGGCTGTAAACGATCGTGGATTATTTACTGCTGGCTGGTTTGGTGTGAGAGAAAAACACTGTTCCGACTGAAAATTTACGATCGTTTACGACCAAGCGAACATGCTGCTAAAGTTTAGAGGTAGAGATCAAACGGGCCCTTAAGAAACTGACAAAAGCTGAGTATCAACAACTTCCTGGTTTTTAAGAATCTAGCAAAAACTGAGAGAAAAAACTAGGCTGTTTGGATCCCACACGGTTTCCAAAATCTAGATTCTTAAAATCTGACAAAAACTGAACGGATCCAAAGAGGGCTTTAATATACTACGGTATCTCCGCTGCGAAACTGAGGTGGTGTTTAAATCTAGAGAGTAAAGTTTAGGGATGTCATATAGGGTGTCACGTCGGGATATCATATGGGAGTGTTCGGACAGTAATAATAAAACAAATTACAGAAGTCCTCAGTAATCTACGAGACGAATTTATTAAGCATAATTAATCCATCATTAACATATATTTACTGTAGCACAACATTATCAAATCATAAACTAATTAGACTTAAAAAAATCGTCTCACAGATTAAACGTAATCTAATTAGTTATTTTTTAATCTATATTTAATACTGTCAACCATCTGATAAGATAGGCACTGTTAGCAATCAAAGCGGTGGGCCCAGCTCGAGGCTCAACGAGTCCATGGTCATGTCCATGACGTCGCTTTTACTCATCCTGGATGGACCAATAAAAGGAGAGGAAAAGCAGCGCCTCCGCACCCCTTTATCACGGCATTTTACCTGGAGGCCCCTGCTCGCCGTCGCTATTCACATTCCTGCCACCCTCCTCTCCGCCGTCGCCGTCGCCGCCGCCGGAGATGGGGGGAGCGCAGTTCCTCGGCGACAACGACGTCGCGGCCCGCGACGGGGAGGCGGCGGACCGCCGCGACGTGGGCAAGATGGAGCACGGGTGAGCGACCGCGCCCGCCTTGAATTGAATCCTTCCTTATTCGTGCTCCCCTTGCTTCCGACGGAATCTCGATTCGTATCCTTCCGGTGCTTAATCGCTCGCTCTGCGCTACGTGGCTGGTTGATATGCTCTGCTCCCGGTGTCCGGTTTCATGTGGCTGTCTGATTTTGCTCGATTGCGTTCTCGTCCTTTGGTTTTCCGATCCAAGGTGGCCTAGCTCCGCTATGCTTAATAATCTGCTAACGTCAGAGATTTGCTCGTTGCCGCAGGTGCGAGCATTACAGGCGGAGGTGCAAGATCGTGGCGCCGTGCTGCAACCAGGTGTTCCCCTGCCGCCACTGCCACAACGAGGCTACGGTGAGCTAGTGTCCCCTTTTTCCTTTTCGCAGAGATCTGTATTGTGCGGCTCTTTCGTAAGTAGAACAGTACTGTGTAACTTAGCGAGCTTATCTACTCAGGAACCTTATGGCGTGCTTGCCAATTAGCTAGCACACTGGCATGCATTTTTGTTTCAACCAAGGGGGATGGTATAGGCATAGCTACCTGAAAGGTCGGTAGTTTGGCTCTATACTTTTGTTAGTCTTAGATATTGACTGTGTTCATTTTGGTTAAGTTATGTACATGATAAATCAAAATATGGAATTCAGTGGCAGTAATCTTGCCGTGTAGAGAAGTGATCCTGCAATAAATTGTGAAACACGGAACAATCTCCGTAGCAGATTACATATATGAATCTGTGGTTCCTGGAACGGGAACTTGATAGTAGATTTCTGAAATTGTGCCTTTAGTCATTTTTGGAGCAATGAAACATAATGGATGTACGAAATTGTGCCTTCTAAAATCGAACCGTCTAGTTTTGGCACTCTGGAATGGGAACTTGATAGTAGATCTCTTAAATTGTGCCTTTAGTCATTTTTTGGAGCAATGAAACATAATGGGTGTATGAAATTGTGCCTTCTAAAATTGAACCGTCTGGTTTTGGCACTATATGCAAAGAACAGCTATTGCTAGAGCACTTCTTTTTCTTAAAAAAATCTGAATTGTGTTGGTCCTTTCTTCACTATAGGCTTCTGGAGATCGGCATACAATTTGTCGTCAGGATGTTAAAAAAGTAAGCCTTCCATGCTTTTCTAGTTTCTACAATTAATTGACTTTACTATGTTCAGCAAATGTGGAAGATTAACTCTGTTCATTCCTGCAGGTAGTTTGCATACTCTGTGAAACAGAACAGCCGGTATGACTTAAACTGCTGCAGAATTTTATTCAGTGCTCATGTCACGTAAGGGTTATTGTGCTCAAACTGAAACTTCATTTTTATTGTTTAGGTGTCACAAGTGTGCATAAGCTGTGGAGTCAATATGGGAGAGTACTTCTGTGATATATGCAAATTTTATGATGATGATGTAAGTTTTAAGTTTGATTGCTTTTGTATTTGCTTTGTACCATTCATACCAACTGATGCATGTTGCTTCTTTTACAGACAGAGAAAGGGCAGTACCATTGCAACGATTGTGGCATATGCAGGTGAGCACAAAAGAAACTTTCACCAATATATAAATTATTAAGCTGATTTCTGATCATGTATCCACTCAATTCAACCAGGGTTGGTGGCAAGGAAAACTTCTTCCACTGTGTAAAGTGTGGTATGCTTTGCTTCAACCAATTTGGATATGTGATTTTTAGTTGAATGTTCTTCCATACTCCATGGTGGTGATTCAATATTTTTCCATACGCAACAGTGGTGATTTTGAGTTGAATATTCTTACATACGCAACAGTGAAATAATTGAAGTCGAAATTCTGTCACCTTTTTGTCTCTAATGAAAAATTTTCATGCCCCCAAGTTGAATTCTGCAGATCGTATCAGTATAAATTAACTTTCTAAGTTTTATGTTCACTGGTAAAACTCTGCATGTGCCTATTCGTTGTGTGGTAATGCTTATATGTTCTATTTCTTCCTGTTCCTTTTCTGCAATGCACAGGGTCTTGTTATTCTGTTGTACTGCGTGATAACCATCAGTGCGTGGAGAACTCAATGAGGCAGAATTGCCCAATCTGTTATGAGGTAACATCAATAGCTTGCGCTGCTTCTGAAGCTATCTAGATATTATAATCGGGACTACGTCTGCAGTATCTATTTGACTCATTACAAGGAACAAGAGTTCTTAACTGTGGACACACAATGCACTTGACATGTTTTGAAGAGATGGTGGAGCATAACAAGTAAATCTGCACACCTTCGTTAATATAAAATTATATTGATGCTTCATTATCATTCTTTGAACCTACTCTCTGACACAGTTTTGTTTATGTTAACTTTTATTGGTGTTTGATGCTACAGGTACACTTGTCCAATATGCTCTAAAACAGCTCTTGATTTGACACGTCATTGGGAGATGTTGGATCAAGAGGTATCATATTTCTTTTTCACTGCTAGAAGCTTGTATATTGACAGAGAAACAATCTTTGGTTGTAACTTAAGGTTCAGAATTCTAGAATGTCTGTTCCTGTCTATTACCAGAAATAATCTGGAAGCAGCGTCAGAAAAACAAACCTTTCAGCAATTAGGAGACATTCTCTCCAGATGATATGATAGTAAAAATAGTATAATAGCATTTTGGTTGGACATGAAAAGCCTCACTCCAGAAATATACTTGTGTGCTGAATTTGTTTTGTTCTGGGCAACTATATTATGGTGTTTCCTGGTGTTTGCTGAATGACTGATGGTTAGTTCCTTGTCATTTTGTAGATCGAAGCGACAATCATGCCTCCTGTATATCGGTACAAGGTATTCTTTGTTCCTTTCTGGCGTACCTATGCAGCCCAACTCCCAGCTAGCTTAATACATTAACCCAAGGATAATAAGTTCATAACTTAGTTATTGCTATGTAAATTAGAAACCTTCACTGATTGGCATTTTTCATAACCTACCTAGAAAACCTCTCTGCAGTCTTCTTATACTGATGAATCATCTATGCTAGTGGAATAATAACCATCCTAAAGGAGGGAGCTCCCATATATTGACGTTCTGTTCTATTTTGGCTAACCATTTGAATATATCAGATGATAATATTGCCATGCTGATTCATTTGATGTAACTAAAGCTTTTGTCCTCTGGAAAAAAATTTGGCAGATTTGGGTGCTTTGCAACGACTGCAACAAGGTCTCAGAGGTGAACTTTCATGTGATTGGCCACAAGTGCAGCCACTGCAGCTCGTACAACACCCGATCAACATCGCGCCCTGCAGATTCACCGGGAAGCAGCTCACCTTCAACAGACTCATCGGACAACAACATGTAGAGAAAACCAGTGTCAGAACCAATACGATAGAAGAAGTGAAGAAGGAACATTGTTTCGCGGCGTGCGTTCCTGGGACTGGGAAGTTACAGACTCCCAGCCGTTTAGCCCTCGTTTTGTCGAGATTCAACTCATTCCATGAGTCTTGGCTGTCGTGGGAAATTCCAGCTTGGGCATTGCTGGGTTAACCCACATGACCAGCGTAGATGTTTGTTGAATCTTGGTCGCAGCCGTGATTGTATCACCGTGGGTGAAAACCCAGCATGTTATGAATCGCATACTTACTGTAAGCTATAGCAGAAGATGGGTACGGGGTACCCCTGACTGATGCCTGGTCTGTTTGTGTGCTTGTGCTGAACTGTTTCTGAATTGCCGTGCTGTTCAGTAGGGCTATATATTGTGTTTGTGTTTTCTAATGATCTGTCAGGGACCACAAAGTGTGCGGTGAAATTGTAGTGTCCTTACGCACTTGGAATGAATAAATAAAATCTTATAATAGAAGTATTTATTGATGGCAAGCTGTGGAAAATCACCACTGTCGATGACAGGTGGTGGACCTGCTGACCGCGAATTCAACCTGCCTGCGGCGATCGCTCTGCCGGACGGAGGGAGACTGCCGCCGCAGCCCTACTCGCCGCGGGCCGCTGACCTGCCACCGCGTGCTCTGGGCTCTGGCCATCTTCACCAAGGTACGTAAGCGCCCTCCCTGTTTCGCTTGCTTGCTCTCATGTGGCAACTTCGCCGGATCCGGATTGCCGACCCTGCCATTGCTAACGTTCAGCCCGGCCGTTTCTTGGGTTGCTGATTGCGATGCATCCAGATCCAGTTCAGCAGCTCACCATGGCCATGGTGGTGCGGCCTGCCGTCGTGAACTGAAAAGGTGAAGGTGAAAAATGCATAAGCTATTATCTGTAGTTTTGGCCATTATTATGCGTCTGTGCCCTGCTACCGGATTCGTGAACCAAATTTCAATCTCTACTGCCCAGCATTCATGATTGTACATGTTTGGATAGAGTGTATATCTGTTGCTGCGTTACTGTTGATTTTGGGCCTTTCATACTCTGTGTTACTGTTGAACAGCACAAGATGTTCGGCTCATGGATTTGGGCAGCCTTACCTTACAGTCTTAGCCCTTTTTTAGTTCGCGAAATTTGGATTTTGGGCTACTGTAGTACCTTCGTTTTTATTTGGCAAATAGTGTTCAAACATGGACTAATTAGGCTCAAAACGTTCGTCTCGCAATTTCCCACCAAACTGTGCAATTAGTTTTTCTTTTCGTCTACATTTAATGCTTTATGTACGGGCCGCAAACATTCGATGTGACAGGTACTGTAACAATTTTTTAGAAATTGGGGTGGAACTAAACAAGGGCTTACACAACCCTGCTTCTGCTTCCTACTCTGAACTTCAGAAAGCAAGTCCTACCAACGGCTGCAGCATGGTATAGCACTAGCACATCACATAAATCTGGAAATTTCAACATGACCTTTCTTGTCTTTGCACAGATCATTCTGACAAGAGACCAGCCACTGCCTCAAACTTGTGAGAAGCTTAATGAATCCATACGGTAAACCATAAGTCATTTCTCTAATTTTCTTCTCTCTTCTGTTGTTATAATGGAAAACCAGTTTTTTTTTCCTCCCTGTGGATAGATGACGTGCCTCGATCTTTTTAATCATCGCTGCCTAAGTTAGCCCTCAGGAGCTTATATTAACAAGTGTTTTAGGACACACATCAATTTGAGAGATACCACAATCTGTCAAAGCACACCTACTTGAACATGGGTGTTTTATGGTATGGCTACATTATCTCTCCTTGAAGTTGAACACCCATGTTGCAGCACTTGGCATTGCAGATGCCTTAACGAGGGAAATACAGTCACTGAAAACATGGGGAAAAGATATGCTATCCCAGAGGACCACCCAACTTGGAAGACTTACGCAACCATGCATCCTGCATCCGTACGTACATTGTGCATATATATCTTTTCTTTTCTACACTATAAACGTTGCCTATCTTTCTCTTCTTTTAAAAGAGTGGTATATGGATGAAGTCAAGAAAAAGATGCGCCGGTGGCCAGTGGCGTAGCCTATACTATTATATTGTATATACGCTGTATTTGTTAAAAAGAAAAAAAAACATACGTGGACACCATCGCATGATGACGGGAGGCCCATATGATGCACTGACGCGGTCCATGTGGCAAGGGAACTACAATTCTCCAAAGTCCAAACGTCCGGTATGTGCGCTTCATATACGACCCTTCGAATTTCCTAATCTAATCTCGATCAGACAGGGAGCCACGGAGGAACACGTGCGTCGCTGCCTGACAGGTGAGTCTGTGACGCCCCGGCCGTCCGTGTCCCCTGGTGCCCTGTCGCCCTCCGCCATGCTCTGAATGCTAGATCGGAGGATCGCTATCTAATTCCCACGTCCTGTCTGCAGAATATACGGTTGCGCCAGTCAGGACTTATCGTCTTGATTCACTATTTTGGTTAGGTAAATTTTAATCTTTGCTCTTCGTGTTTTTTAGGAAATTATTTTCTACATTCATAGCTATTTGGTAACATTCATAGCCAGTTGAACCTTCTAATCCTCCACCTGATCAGGTTGAACTAGTGGTGGAAGACCGGTGATTGATCTAGTTGATGAAGGCCCCGTTCGCTGGTCTGAAACTTGGCTGAAACTGGCTGGTTGTGTGAGAGAGAAATACTGTAGCGGCTGAAAGATGCATAGTGATTTGTGAGAGGAACCAGCCGACTGGTCTGAAAAAATCAGACCAGCGAACGGCGTGGAAAAAGATATAGTAAGACATTCATATTCCTCGGAAAGCGTTGAATAAAACAGTCTGAAAAATAGCATTGTAAGCCTCTGGTACTCTTTTATGTCTATATTTAAACTATCGGTATGGCTTTTGAACTATTTATACTATCGGTACGGTACTCTAGCCTACCCCAACTTATTTGGGACTTAAAGGCTTTGTTGTTGTTGTTGTTGTTGGTATGGCTTTTGAACTATTTATACTGTATTTAGTAGATGGTTTCAACTTAATCCTTGAATTTAAGCCTTATCATGTTACATAGTGTATGTATATCAAATCACGTTGTAAAATTTATAATTATTACTGAATTGCTAAAATGAATTTACCAGATTATATATGAATTTTTTTTACGGTATACCTTAAAGTTAAAATCGTAGATTCACCACTACCGGTGGCCATCGCTACTACTGTGGCGGCACGCCGCACATTGATCCCTAGAGGATCCTTAGACACAATGATGTATATCATCATCGCTGCTTTGACGTACAGCAACATGCTCGATGCTGAGGGAACCATCATCCTGCCCAAGGCATCGCTGTATGCAATTCGTCATGGAATCGATCCATCAAGGTCACAGTAGTAGCAATCCTCCCCTCTTGGTGTCAACGATCGTACAATCTTGCGTATCGTTCTTTGTTTTTATTCGCACTACTACACAGTTCTAGTGCCACCACAGTACTGATAAGGGCACGCATAAAGGCGATTCTTTGCAAAATAGGTGGTATCAACTCTCAGATTTAGGTCATTTGCCCAACCAAGTACGTGTCGTACCTGAAAACTTCATCTCATTCTGTTAAAGTTTTGTGGGTCTGGAATGCTTCAGTTCGGTATATGGTTACATGCTTCTTTGTTATTAGCTATGCATTTGAAGGTTGAGATACAATTGTTTACACCAAAATTTTAGAAGAAGAACGCGAAAACTCGAAGCGTCTAGGATTGTGTCATCAAGGAATCGATTAGACGTGAATCGATATCAGCTGTTTTAGATATGATGTCAAAATCAGATATTTTATGGATGACGTTAGTGGACGGTGTCAATGGACTATGTTTGAATGGCGCCAGGAAGATGTGTCGGACTCTATAAATAAGGAGAATTATGGTCCAAGTTATTATTAAATTAAGAAGTTTTCTTTCATTCCAAGAATGGTAATGAGTCGTATTTGAGTATGATTCATGTTTAGGTTCCGGGTATAAATATTAGACCTGGTTATTGTAAAGAAGGATGAACACACAATCAATATAATTTTTTTGGCTTTCACCATCGCATTAGGAGTACTGTAGATCTCGACGAGTTCTTCAGCAAATAAGGCTGCATCGACCGATCGACCTCTAGCTTGCTTGTGAGTTGTAACACCCTTGGTGTTACACTAAAAATCTTTTACTAAAACATGTCATGAGCATCATGGTTATGTGTTAATGCATGTAATATAGAGGGTAGATCAATTTCCGTAACTCGAAACGATCATCGGAAACACAAAACGAAAGTTACATTTCAATGTCACATTATATCACTTAGGATTTTAAACCAATTTTTATTAAGCGAAAATGCTATAGAACTTATATGTGCTACTTAAATAAAGTTTGAAGTGTAAACTTTATAGATGGCGATGAAATACCTGCGGTCGAAAAATGAATTCACTGGCTAACATACCTGATAGCTTGGAAAGCGAATTTGACGCAAATCCAATCAAGACTTAGTCAAATTTCTTAAGTCTGAAAATGGTTTGACAAAGCTAGGTTTGGTAATTTTTGTAGAAGAATCGGGTTAAGGAGTGGTGTGGTTTTAGGGCTTGTTTTAGTAGCCTAACATGCCCTCTTGAGGATAGAAAAGGTGGTTTGGTGTTTGAATCAACGAATTGGATTTTTGGGATGCTTTAAAAAGTGTGCATGGCACGTTTCCGGCCAGTTTCAGCGACTGGGCGCGGTCACCGTGCCTCGGCACTCGGCGTCGCAGCGCCGGCTCACCCAACACGCGCACACCGGCGTGCAGGCTCCGCATCACCGCTGCCGCGCTGAAAGGTCCTTGCGTGGTTTTGGTAATTGAGTGACAACTCTAGGTGGACTAATTGTGTTTATATGAGATACACAGGTGATTAGTTCACAGATACATGTGTGTGAGCAACATATGCCATGAAGGTGAAAATGGCTTGGAGATGTTGCAAAGCTTACACATGTGATGATG